CCCTTTAAAACACATAGAAAATCAATACACACACACTTCAAAAAAAAAAAAAAAAAAAAACACACAACAAAAAAGCATGTTGATGCAGTAGGTGTGTTAGTGTGTGAAAGTCGAAGCAAGTGTAAATGAGCCCTTAAAGTGAAGAACTGTACAAGTTGACTAGATTGACCATTTTTGCATTTATAAATGATAATCTCCCCCCTAAATGCCTCTTTTCAAGGAGCAAGAAAAATTCACTTCAGTTAATCTCTCTTCATAGTTGAGCTCCTTCATGTCTCTTATCAGGTTGGTTGCCCTTCTCTGCACTTGCTACAGTTCTCCAATACCTTTTTGTGAACAGATGCACAAAACAGCTGCATATTCCAGATGAGGTCTTACTAGTGCTTTGCACAGGGGGTATATGTCTCTCCCCCTGGAGTATATACCTCTTTTAAAGTGTTACTAAACCCAGGACCCTGCATTCACTATATATGGTCTCCCACAGTATACAGAACATGGAAAAGCAATTAGTTTAGTGAATATAAACTGATAAATACCTTTTCTCATCAGCAGTTAGAACAGTCTTGTGACTTCAGTTGAGCACCGGTTAAAGCTTATAGGAGGAGTTTTCATTCTCCTATGTCTGCCCTATAAGTACATATCCCAAACAGTTGTTTTGGCCACGCCTAATGTTTTTGCTATCTCTGATGCGTTTGTTTTTTCAGCCTAATGATGGCTTGCTTGACTGATAGTGACAACTCTTTGGAACTCATCTTGAGAGTTGACAGCAACAGATTCCAAATGCAAATAGCACACTTGAAATTAACTCTGGACCTTTTATCTGCTCATTGTAATTGGGATGAGGGAATAACACACATCTGGCCATGGAACAGCTGAGAAGCCAATTGTCCCATTACTTTTGGTCCCTTAACAAGTGGGAAGCACATATGCAAACTGTTGTAATTCCTACACTGTTCACCTGATTTGGATGTAAATACCCTCAAATTAAAGCTGACAGTCTGCAGTTAAAGCACATCTTGTTAGTTTCATTTTAAATCCATTGTGGTGATGTATAGACCCAAAAATGTTAAAATTGTGTTGATGTCCCAATATTTATGGACTTGACTGTAGTTGCCCAAGCAAACAGTGCAGATCTGCTTGTAAGCTAAAGACATTCTGTATGGGTTTTATTGAACTGCATAGCTCGGTGCCATGTACAAACACAGAAATCGTACTTTTAATCCCAAACTCTCTATAATTTATAAACAAGTTAAAGTTCCAACACTGAACCATGGAGTACATCACTAAACCTTAGTCCGTTCAAAGAAAGAAACCACTGTTCTTGGATAGCAAACTGGCGAAATGACTGCATTCAATTTACAGACTGAACTTTCTATGCCTGTAAATGTTAACCTACTCATTAGCCTTGTACAGATATGTATCAAATGCTTTTGAAAAGTATACTACTGTATGTCCACAGCCACTATGTCTATATTTTTGCCTACTTTTACATAAAAAGAAAGCAGATTCATTTGCACAGCTTCAATCTTTAGTGAATCTGTGCTGAATGTTGATTATAATGTTGCTTTCTAGCACAAACTCATCTATGTGGTCTTTTACCAAACTCAAGTATCTTTCTGAATATAGAAGGTAAACATCTATAGTCCTAGAATCAATCTTATAAAACGCACATCATTTTGCAGGGATAAGGAAGGTGGCCATGTTTCATGTTATAACCTAAATATGGGTGTAACAAGAAACATGGTCACAAAACAAACTTAGCCTTTAATGCTGACAGCTTCAGGCTGGGATGATCTGGTATCCCCCTGCCACCCCTTTTATTCTGGCTCCTTTCTGCTCACACAAGTTGTTTTAGGGGCACTTTGCTATACATACATACATACATAGTATCACTACCTAGTATGCCACCCTCTCTGCCCCTTATTTACAGGGAGCAAGCACAAAGTTAAACAAAACCAGCATACATACAGTTGCAAGAAAAAGTATGTGAACCCCTTGGGATTACGTGGAGTTTTGCATGAATTTGGCATAAAATGTGCTCTGAACGTCATCTAAATCACAACAATAGAAGAACACAGTCTGCTGAACATAATACTACACAAACATTAGATGTTGCCATGGTTTAATTGCACATAACATGTAAACATTCACAGTGCAGGGAGGAAAAAGTATGTGAGGCCCTAGCTTAATGACTTCTCCCAGAGCTAATTGGAGCCAGGAGTGAGCCAACCTTGACTCCAATCAGTGGGATGATATTGGATGTGTTGCTGACAGCTGTCCTGCCCTTAAAAAACACACACCTGTTTTGGGTTTACTGGTTTCAAGAAGCACTGTCTTCAGTGAACCATGCCTCGCAGAAAAGAGCTCTCAAAAGACCTACGATCAAGAATTGTTGACTTGCATGAAGCTGGAAAGGGTTACAAAAGTATCTCCAAAAGCCTTGATGTTCATGTGTCCACGGTAAGACAGACTGTCTACAAATGGAGAAAGTTTAGCACTGTTGCTACTCTCCCTAGGCGCGTGCGGTCGTCCTGTAAAAATGACTGCAAGAGCACAGCGCAGAATGCTGCATGAGGTACAGAAGAATCCCAGAGTGTCAGCTAAAGATCTACAGAAATCTCTGGCACATGCTAACATTTTTGTTGACACATCTACAATAAGGAAAACATTAAACAAGAATGGAGTACATGGGAGGACACCACGGAGGAAGCCATTGCTGTCCAAAAAGAATATTGCAGCACGTTTGAAGTTTGCAAAAGAGCACCTGGATGTTCCACAGCACTACTGGCAAAATATACTGTGGACAGATGAAACCAAGATTGAGTTGTTTGGGAAGAACACACAACACTATGTGTGGAGAAAAAAAGGCACAGCACACCAACATCAAAACCTCATCCCCACTGTGAAACATGGCGGAGGGAGCATCATGGTTTGGGGCTGCTTTGCTGCCTCAGGGCCTGGACAGATTGTTGTCATTGATGGGAAAATGAATTCCAGAGTTTATCAAGACATTTTGCAGGAAAACGTACGACCATCTGTCCGCCAACTGAAGCTCCGCAGAGGATGGGTGATGCAACAGGACAATGACCCAAAGCATACAAGTAATTCAACAAAACAATGGCTGCAACAGCACAGAATACGCCTTCTGGAGTGGCCCAGTCAGAGTCCTGACCTCAACCCATTGAAATGCTGTGGCATGACCTTAAGAGAGCGATTAACACCAGACATCCCAAGAATATTGCTACACTGAAACAGTTTTGTGAAGAGGAGTGGTCCAAAATGACTCCAGATCGTTGTGCAGGTCTGATCTGCAACTACAGGAAACGTTTGGTTGAGGTTATTGCTGCCAAAGGAGGGTCAACCAGTTATTAAGTCCAAAGGTTCACATACTTTTTCCTCCCTGCACTGTGAATGTTTACATGTTATGTGCAATTAAACCATGGCAACATCTAATGATTGTGTAGTATTATGTTCAGCAGACTGTGTTCTTCTATTGTTGTGACTTAGATGACGTTCAGAGCACATTTTATGCCCAGTTCATGCAAAACTCCACGTAATCCCAAGGGGTTCACATACTTTTTCTTGGAACTGTATATTTAACAGGAAAAGTAAGGAATAGTGAGGGATATTTTTTTTCTAATGCTTTTACTTGAGAAGCTTAAAAACAAACCTTTTTTTTTTTCTTATTAAAGAATGAAACTCGGCTCATGTGCCCTGTCATGAGAGAAGTATGAGGGCTGCCATTGCGGACATTCTATAAATATGCCTGTTGCCACCTGGCTATAACAAATACAAAAAAACACACACACACACACACAAAACACACACACACACACACACACACTTAAAGGAACACTTTGAAAACACATCAGATCTCAATCTGGAAAAATATCATGCTGGATATCTATACTGATATGGACTGTGTAATGTGTTAAGTATGTTAGGAATGTAAGGATGCCTCATTGTTTGATGGAAATTAAAATTATCAACCTACATTAGACTGAATTCAAAGACATCTCGAAAATCAAAGTTAAAAAATGATGCAGAATGCTAGTCCATTTTGCTGAAATTTCATTGCAGCAACTCAAAATGGTACTCAGTAGTTTGTATGGCCCCCACTTGCTTGTATGCATGCCTGACAACGTTGGGGCATGCTCTTAATGAGACGACAGATGGTGTCCTGGGGTATTTCTTCCCAGATCTGGACCAGGGCAACACTGAGCTCCTGGGCAGTCTAAGGTGCAATCTGGTGGCGTCAGATGGACCAAAACATGATATCCCCGAGGTGTTCTATTGGATTTAGGTCAGGCGAGCATGGGGGCCATTCAATGGTATGAATTACTTCAACCTCCAGGAATGGCCTGTATACTCTCGCCACATTAGACCAGGCATTGTCGTGTACCAGGAGGAACCAAGGCCCCCTGCTACAGTATAGGGTCTGACAATGGGTGCAAGGATTTCATCCCGAAACCTATTGGCAGTCAGGGTGCCATTGTCTAGCCTGTAGAGGTCTGTGCGTCCCTCCATGGATATGCCTCCCCAGACCATCACTGGGCCTAGACGCCGAGCGGCCGCACATTTGCATTCTATGAAACGCACACATGGCCGGTACTAACGGAAAAGTCCCGATCTCCTCTTTTGATTGGACCTTTCCAGATCATGTCACATGACCCTAAACCCCGCCCCACCTCCCAGCTTCTGAAACTCTTAAAGGGCCGGGTGGTGCTGGCGTGAAGGGGTTTAAGGGGCTTTGTAAGTTACTGTTCTGGTGCAAGCATGCGGATAGAACTCCAAACTATTCTCATACATTTACCAGGTCCATGACTCTTGAGGTAGTGAAGCCAATATCACAATAACAGCCATGGAGACTGAATCTTTTAAAAACAAGTCAGCAATAGTAGCTTCCTTATTTCTTTTCTCAAAAGGTTTACTTTATCATTACTTATTTGGTAATTCTTCATTAACAGTAAGTAACCCAACGGAGGTATCTAACGACTTACAGATGTGTGGTGATTCAGAAGAATCAGCCGGTCCATCCTCTGAAGCAACAGATTCTGCCATTGGTTGTGTACCAACCTGCAAAAATTCAAAGTAATCAGTAAAACAAAATATCACCGTTAGCAATTTATTTAAAGATAAACGTCCAGACTTGGACGATGTCAGGAACAAAATCAATACTCACAAGAACAGTAAAAGCATCACTGGTTATCAGAAATAATATGTCATTGAAACATTTAGTGTAAGATGTTGGGCTCAATTCACTAAGGCTACTTTCACACTGAGGAGTTTTTGAAGCATTTTTGCATTAAAAAAAGCACCTGAAAAGCTCAAGAAAAACGCTTCCTTTTGTATGTCTTCACATGAGGGCGTTGCGCTTCCATTGCGGTGTAAAAGCTCCTGCTTGTAGCATTTATTTATTTTATTTTTTTAAACTGAACAAAACCCAAAAACGCCTCTTCCCATTGAAATCAAAAGCACAGTAAAAAACACATTAAATAATTAATGTGTTATTTAACCTAACCTTTCTCAACCAGGGTGCCCAGGCACCCTGGGGTTCCTTGGCAAAATGTCTACAAAATTACCCAAAACTTGTATACAAGCCAGCGGGTAGAACAAGCCTGCCTTTTAGTTACACAAAGCCACAGGTTTTCATTGTGCACCATTATGACCTTCTAGCCATCGGCATCCTGACAACCAATGACATCATCAGTTGATAAAGAGGATGTCAGCTGCCTGCACAGCATCCTAGGTTTCACCCTCCCCTGCCCCTCTCCATCAGTGCGGGGGTCACACTAGCTGAGTGATGGAGAAAAATGGAGGAAGAGGAGAAACATTGGAATACTACTCAGTACCAGTGTTCAAAAGTGTATTTTGCTTTCTAAGAATAAATCACCTAATGTTGGGTGTTCTACATATGTGGATGTTGCTGTATTATATAAAAACTATTAAAAACAGTTTTTCACATTTTAGAATGGGGTGCCTCAAGACTGTCCATAATTTTAAAGGGTGCCTTGACTGAACAAAGGTTGTGAAACACTGATTAACCCAAAGAACAGTGTTTTTGCAGTAGTTAACATGTTTAACCACTTCCCGCCCGGCCAACAGGAAAATAACAGCCGGCCAGGACTCTCATCTATCCGGGTGGGTGTCAAGTAACATCCTTTTGGGATCTCGCCTTGTGTGTGCCCACAGGGCCACGCTGTGGTGAGATTGGTCACCGGCTGTGTACCTCGGACACAGCCTATGACAGATCTGTGTACCAGCCCGTTGCCAGTACCATGTGACCAATCCCAGCAGGTCACATGACAGTTGTAAACAATGGATGGTTTCCTTTCATGCCATCCACTGTATACAATTGTGTCACTAGCTGTGATTAGTCAGTGATCACAAGAACAGACTGGGCCAGTCACAGCCCATCTGAGTCCTGTGATTAGCCATGGCCAATCACAGCTAATCACAACAAAAAAACCTGAATGAATCAATTTCATTGAGTCAAATGCTTGCATATAGCAAAGAAATTATTTGGAAAAAAAAAAAAAAATACTGATCACTTCTTTCTTCAAAAGAAGAAAAGAAAAGAAAGCAAAAAGAAGGAAGAAAGAAAGCAAAAAAAGAGAAAAAGCAAAAAAAAAGAGAAAGCAAAAAGAGAAAGCAAAAAAAAGCAAAGAGAAAGCAAAAAGAGAAAGCAAAAAGAGAAAGCAAAAAAGAAAGAAAGAACACTATGTAATTAAAAAAATAAAATTCATTTTTTTTTTTTACGGTCACCAGTCAGTGTCCCTGATCACCACCACACCAGTTAAATGACGACACTGTACTGCACTGGTGACAGCATGTAAAAATAAAAAAAATTGTGAAAATATTTTTTTTTTATTTCATTTTCCAAAAAAATGACAAAAAAAAAAAAAAAAAAAAATTACAACTTCAAAAAACTCGCCATGCCTCTTATGAAATACGCTGCACTATCTACTTTGCAAAAAGGGGTCATTTGGGGGATATCTGTACTGTTCTGACATTTTTGGGACTCAAGTACTTCAGGATTTATTAATTTTCAGATATATCGCATAGTTTGTGAAAATAACTTTCTTACAGACTAAATATTAAATACGGATTTGGGTTATTTTCACCAAAGAAATGTAGCCGAATACATCTTGGCCTACATTTATGAAGAACAATTATTTATTTGCAAACCTTTATAACAGAAAGAAAAATGTGCGTTTTTTCAGAAAATTTGTCATTTTTTGTTAATTTAGCAAAAAATAAATTGGAATTGTCATTTAAAGTATGAGAGCCCTGAAACCTGAAAATTGGCCTGGGCAGGAAGGGGGTAAACGTGCCCGGTATTGAAGTGGTTAAACACATGTCTGACCTTCAGCTGTAGCTGGAAGTGAAATATTTATTTTAGTGCTGCAATTTTATTTAGAAAATATTTAACAGTGGTACTCCTACCACTGCTAAATGTGCCAGTTCAGCTCAGGGCCTTTCCCCCACAACCCTAGCCTGACGGGGTTTGACATATTGGAATCTGGAATCCTAACAAGGAGGCCCCCAGAATCAAACCCCCCAACCCCATGCATATACATACTCATTCACCAAAAAAAATGACAAGTGTAAATAGAACACTACACAGTTTTGTCCTGAACGCTGCCCGCATGAAGAAAAAATCTGCGGCCAGCCCACAAGACCGTTCCATCGCTAGGTACCCTCTGACTGACACTACTTCCCCCTGCCTCTTAAGTAAACAAGCGAGTAGTGTAAGTGACATGAGTGAATAGGGCCACACATTGACATCACTGATCATACATCCAAGCTTTGTCAATGACATTACAAAAGGCCGCCCTCCTGACAACATCATTTAACAAATATGGATTTATCCATGAATGGTCAATGACGTCACTGGTTGGTCGCGTCAACAACTACTTGGTGTTATTTACACCTGTCATTTTTGTTTTGAAATGAGTAGGGGTACATAGTATCCCTACTCATTCAAATGCGGGGCCAGGATCTGGAAGCCCTCCTGTTAACAGGGGTTTCTAGATTCCAACAAGTAACCCCCATGCAGCCTACAACCACTGGGCCAAGGTTGTGGGGAAGAGGCCCTTGATCTCATCAGAATGGGGACAAGGTGTGTTGCGGGCGTCTCCTCCCGCTGTTCAGAGCATGACTCCTGGTATGGTTCAAAAGGGGGGAGGGCCACACGCTCACTCCCCTTCCTTGCCTTCCAGGCTGCATACTCGGATAAAAGTATAGATTTTAGGAGGGGGGGGTTCACGGCAAATTATTTGTCTTTTCCATGTGATTGCCCCAACCCTAAAGCGTCTGATTGTTGGAGGACTAGCACTGTTTTTTTTTTTTTGTCTTTTGGTTACATTCTGTTGTCAACAGGGATATGTTTCTTAACCTCTTGGCGCAGGTGCCTACCGGCCCTTTAAGAGTTTCAGAAGTCGGGAGGCAGGGTGGGGTTTTAGGGTCATGTGACCACCGTGATTCACCATCACATGATCGAAAAAAGTCCAGATCCAAAGGGGAGATCGGGACCTTTCCAGGAGTAACAGACATATGTGCTGGGAGCATGCAGGGGCATGAACTCTCAGCACGTCGTTTTTTTATTGTACGCAAATATGTGGCCACTCGGTGTCAAGGCACAGATGCCAAGAGGCCGCATATTTGCAATTGGCGTCAAGGGGTTAAATAACATGTGACTAGACCACTACTTATTTAACAAATGTATTTATTTTTGTAAATTGACTGTCAGTTTCTGTGGTATTTACCATGCGGTTGTTATTTTAGCGCTAAATACCACATAAACTGATAGTAAATTCACTTTTTCACTATCACATTCGATATTTTGATCAAATGAGTCACATGATCCAAATATTGCATGCAATACCCTTTGGTTAATTGAGCACACTGTGTTTGGAGTACAGTGGCACTGCAGTTTTTTTTTTAGTAAAGCTAAAATATGTATCAGCTTGGATTTTTGGATAAGATATGAGAAGTGCTCTTCACCAGTAAAATTAAACTTGCTTTCCTTAACATTCTTGGGTATGCATGTTAGCATAGTCAATGGCAGCCGTGTCATACCAAATATTTTCTCACATAGGACATGTAAAAGTGCACAAATGGGAGCATGTATGCTTTATTTCATCACTAGATGCCCAAATCATTGATTTTTTTGTGAAGTCAGAGTTTAAAGGAACCTGTAAGTGTAACACATCTTGGAAGCGCATCCCTGCTCCACTAGAGGAGATCCCCAGCCTAATGAGCATACTTCTGATCTTTAAAAAAATCAGGTCTTTACAGTCAGGTCAGATGGGGGATTTAATAAACACTACTTTCAGAACCATTCTCTAGCATTCCAACGAGTGGTACTCCTAGAATGAAATACTCAAGTGATTCTCAAATTCCATGGCATGCCCACAGGTAATTGCTCATCTTCAAGTTAGCTTTGTCCTCTGTACAGTTCCATGAGCCTTACTAGCAGTGCCATTTCAGCTCAATCCTGTGAACTGCATATTCTGCACATATTTTTAATGAGGGAGCTTTCACTGCACCAGCATAACTTTCAAAAAAAAGTGATGCTTACCTCCTGTGTTCGGCCTTCCTGCATTATAGAATTAATTCCAGCAGATAAAAACCTGAAGAATACAAAAAAAAAAGTCAGTTGAATGCTATTGAAAGACTAACACTGACCTATGTCTGCTAAAATGTTCAGTGTTCCAAGTCTACTCCTGTTTTTCCACCAAGCTGACTTTCTACTATTCTGTGAACAGTCTGTGCAATCTGGTCTCTTGCTATTCTGGTCTATGCACAATAAAAGCAGATTAATCTAGGAGGATAGACTCCCTACGATTTTCAGTAAGACAGAAGAGGCTCAAAAACTTAAGTAGTTTGTGCTACATAATACAGTGTACTATTTAAGTATAGTATCATAGAAGCACACTGAATTCATTAAAAATTTGATTAACCTCTTCCCTACTGCAATATAGCCGAAAGACTGCTACAACGCGGTTGTCTAGTTCAGGGACGACATCCATGGACGTCATTCCAGAACATGCCCCCAGCGCTGCCACCGGTGATACG